AAGTTCTTAACCACTCAATTTGAGGTGAAAGATCTAGGCCCCTTACGCTATTTCCTTGGAATTGAAGTTGCCTGCTCTCACAAGGGCATCTTTATTTCCCAACGGAAATATGTACTAGATCTACTAGAAGATATAGGCAAATTGGGGGTGAGACCAATTGACTCACCAATTGAACCTAACCACCACCTAGGAGACAGTCAGGGAGAGTTCTTGAAAGATGTGAAGAAGTTTTAGAGACTTGTAGGGAGACTCTTGTATTTGTTTATGACCAGGCCTGATATTGCTTATGCAGTGGGTGTCCTTAGTCAGTTCATGCACAATCCTAAGATAACTCACCTTGAAGCTGCATAGAGGATCCTCAGATACCTCAAGAAGTTTCTTGGAGCTGGTTTGCTGTTCCAGAAACATGGACATTTAAAGGTGAAGGTATATACTGATGTTGATTGGGCAGGGGCAGTTGATGACCGAAAGTCTACCAGTGGATATTGTGCCTTTGTAGGAGAAACCTAGTGACATGGAGAAGTAAGAAGCAAAGTGTGGTGGCTAGGTCTAGTGCTGAAGCATAATACAAAGCTATGTCTCATGGAGTTGCTGAAATCATGTGGATAAGAAATCTGTTAGGAGAACTGGGTTTTACAATTAGCAACCCTATGTCACTCTATTGCGACAATAAGGCTGCTATCAACATTGCAGCTAATCCAGTCCTCCATGATAGGACGAAACACATTGAAGTGGACAAGCATTTTATTAGAGAGAAACTTGTAAGTGGAGAAGTGTTTACCCCATATGTCAGCTCAAAAGAACAACTTGCAGACATCTTCACCAAAGGCCTTCATCATGTGTGACATAATGATTTGTGTGACAAGTTGGGCATGATTGACATCTATGCTCCAACTTGAGGGGGAGTGTTGAAAGTGTTAAAATAATCACTTAGTAGGGGCACAAGGGTCATTTCCCTTCTTATTTTTTCGCCCTATATATTATAATGAAGTTGGCGCTGCCAGCATTGTTCCATTGCCTCAACACTTCTTCCTTCTCTTCTCTCCTCTTCTCTTCTCTTCTCTTCTCTTCTCTTCTCTTTGCTGTAACCTTCAATCAGATTTACTGTCAAGAATATTTAAAAATGAAATTGAAAACCAAATAAATAAAAAATTGGGGGAGTATCATTATAAGTACCGATACACAAAGGTCTATCAATACTTTGAACCGTGGGTTCAATACAGCAGTTAGCAATGTTTGTGGTGATTAAAAACCCTAACAAATAAGGAAATAATAAAAAGAAATTATTATATAAACACATAAAATGGATATTCTAGTTTGATAATGTCCATTTTATAATTATAACGTCAAAAAATTAAAAATATAAAAGTATTTTATAATGCAGTACGCAACTGCTTGGCGATTGGGCGAGGCGAGCCTCCAAGGGCGCCTTGTCGCCTACATTGCCTTGACAACTATGATTCAAACTACATCAAAGGCTTTGGGTATGTCTCTATACTATCCCAGACATCCTTGGCAGTCTTCCCCAACATATAATTTCTATTAATGTGTGTCTGTATAGAATTAAGCAACCATGACATGACAGTGTGGTTTTCCTATGTTCAGTGAGGGTAACTAGGGTCCTTGGAATCAGGCTGCACTGAACTCCCAGTGGTATAACTCAGTTTACCTCGTCCACTATTATGGTCCTAAATGTTAAAAGTGCTTGGCTTGATGTGTTCCAGCAGTCTTAAGGCTTTTGGCGTATTGGCCAAGCACTTCAACTTTTAGGACTGTAATATCCACCAATACCAATCTTCATAGACTAAGCCCATTCTAAGTAGTTGGAACCATCCAGTTTCACTGCAGTAATTAATCCCACATTCTGGAGATCTCCAATTCCTCCTGAAACCATCCTAGAATCACTGTTAGACTTCTGATCATTCACGCCAGCCTCCATCCACCAATATCAATCTTCAAAGACTGAGCCTTGGAACCATCCAATTTCACTGTAGTAATTAATCCCACATTCTGGAGATCTCCAATTCCTCCTGAAACCATCCCAGGATCACTGTTAGACTTTGATCATTCACACCAGCCTCCATGCCTTTTTAAACCATTTCAAATACCAAATTCATGAAAGATATGCACCTTTGGGTTGAATCAATCTATATTCTAAGCAACAAGGATTGTCCCAGGGGAAAAAACCATTAACCCGGGAGCCCCGAGAGGGAGAGAGCTTCTTCAATTGATCTCTCCAAAAGCATAGAAAAGTTCCCAACCTCAATCACAAGGCCAAATAGACCTAACCAATTCAAATCTCCAATACAAAAGTGCTCTGAGAACATTGAAACCCTCAGCCCAGGAGGGAAAAACTGAGATCGATCTCTCTAGAGATTCTTAAACCTGATCCAATAGCACTTGATCTTCTTCTATAGGAAGGGGACAGCACCTAAAAACACCAATTTCAAGTCCAAAAGATAATTTTTCTATCAGTCTTTCTTGTTTCTGGTCAAATCTCCAAGTTTCATGCCATGGGAAACAACCACAACTCCAAAAACCTAAAAATCAGGCAGCATAGAGATGATCAATCAAGTCTTCTTCACTCTTCCATGCAGTTGGTTGATCCTAAATTGGCATGGAAATTACTCCAAGGAAGACTGAACTTGGCTCTGGCACCAAGTAGGCTGATCTTACACTCAAAATAGATAAAAAAATAAAGGTGAAAATAAGGAGAAAGAGAGAACTGAAATTAGAGAAGAATAGAAGAGAAGAAGAGAGAAGAAGAGAGAAGAGAAAGATGGCACAAACAGTTTGTGGGGTTCTTAGATCCCCCACTCCCTTTATATTCAAAGAATAAAAGGAGAGAAAATTATTACATTTATGCCCTTAATGAGGCACAGAAAATTAACCAAACAAAAAATAGATAATAGCCCATGGGTGCAACACCACAATCAACCCATAAATAACAAATAAATAATAAAGAATAAGGAAAGCCTGGCCAGTGAACACATAACATCTATTCTTTATACACGTGTCAATAAAATTCTTATCCATAAAAAATATTGGCACATGAATCTTGATTAATTTAAGCTTCTTTATGCTCAGCAAAATAAAATAAAATAAAATAAGTGCTGCCTATGTATCAGAAAAGAAGGAAAAACGGTAGAGCCTCTGTTGATCACAAAATAAAAAAAGGGCAGAACCTCTCTTTTTGTTGAAGTAGAACATCCTTTAGTTGAGAACCTCTCCTCTATCCTTGATCATCTTCATTGTTGAACACATTCAATCCACAAGAAAACTTAACATATAAAAAGATCACCTTTGAAGGAAGAGATATAATCAAAAGAAAGCTCAATACATCCAATCCACAAGAAAATAACCTAGAAAAATCAAAACCCCAGATGATTCTTCAAGCAACCAAAATGTAACTGCAGAAAGATCCATAACAGAAAATAGCAACTATGATAATCTCAGCTCAGTACCTTTGTATTTGTTTGAATAACTTCATCAAGTTGATAACTACCACCAACATCTCCCTCTTTGCTACTTCCCTGATCCCTTGAATTCTCTTCAACATCAATCTCACTCTTCTTGCCTTCTTGGTCCTTAGAAACTGGTCTAGCCCTATGCCTTCTATTCTGATCAGCATAACCCATATATGGACTCTAACTAAAATCTTCATTATTCAATTGGTTTTCTTTATCAGAGGACATTGTCAACAGATTCTTACTAGACCCACTGCAAACATCACCTACCTCATGATACGAATCCTGTTTATCTTCTATTTCCTAACCAAGACTGAAGCTTAACACATAACACCTCTAGGAATTGTTCTGGCATTCAGCTAACCATGATCAGGTCACCTTCCTTGAAAGGTTGAACTCAATAAAACATCAGTGAAGATCAACTTTAGGTTTACAACAATCAGTTTTGATGGAGATTTTGATAGACTTTAGCACAATCTTCAGCTTCTGCAGATGGGTTATTGGGAACAGGTAGTCGAACCAAATTAATTGGTTGTTTTGGCATGGGCCCTAAAACAAACTCAAAGGGAAACCATGTAGTGGCCCTGTTAATTGAGCTATTGAAGGCAAATTCTTCTTGGGGAAGACTTTAGTTCCTATGTGGTGGGATTTTCACCAAGTAAACATCTTTGAAGATTGCATAGGCTTCAATTAATTATTTCCATCTAAATGTTAGTTTGTGGGTGTTAAGCGTTGGAATACTTCAACTTTGTCACCAGAATTGCCAAGAGAACCTTCCATAGTAGCCAATAAATTTGATATCCAGATAGGAAACTATGGTTTTCAACATGCTCTGTAGTTGAAAAATATCTCCGAAGAATAAAGTAGCAACTTAAATAAGCATCAAAGGTAGGGTGATCATGGGCAGGCTGGGTTTTTACAGGGTAGAAACAGCATTTAGAGCTGCTGAAGATGCCTGGGCCCAGCCTGCATCAGGTGCAGGCTTGATGCATGTCTGTACCAGGCAAAACCATTCCATTAGTATCTCCTAGGTACTGCTTTAGCAAACACTTGGATACTTGTGTAGATACTGTGATTTAGCAGATCTGTTAATGCACCATAAAAGACCATTTTCTAACAAGTTATTCTGGAAGAAAATGCTAAATTTACCTTTGGATTCTGTGATATTTTTCCAATACTTCTGCTTGGCTTTTCTATAATTGTTTTTCATGGAAAGTGGGATTTTAAAGGCTCATAATTTAGCAATGGATATGTCACCGAATGGAATGAAATGGTGGAACAGGATTCATGTAGTCAATCCCATATAGTCATATAGTTAGGACAAAGCTTAGTTGAGTTGTGTTGAGTTGAGGATTGTAAGATTCTTAAAATGCATAATTCCACATCTTATTTATTCTGTAAGTTAACTGACCCCATATAGTTGGGACAAAGCTTAGATGTGTTGAGATTTATCTTGTTATTACTGTATACCTTTGTCTTAATTTTTTGCTTAAACTTGGGAATTGAATCCTTTTCTTTCTTTGCTTAACCCAGTTTCTAGATTATCTTGGAAAATCTTCAGACAGCGACTCCCCTTCTTCTGTTGAATTTTTGTCTAGTAGATCAAGGTAGTGGATAATACCTAGATGGGTTTAGAAAGCTCAGTTTATCATTATTTGTTGCCTTAATTATGAATCTTTCTTTTTGTTTTTTTCTTTTTTCATTCCAGCCGAAAGACAATGATATATCTGATTCTTACACTCAGTCACATGTATCCAGATTATGATTTCAGGTATCTTTGTTTCTTGTGATATGGATTAATATTTTATAAGGATCTGGAAAAGGAGGGTAAGGGTAATGTCACTGTCAGCTTGTTGGGCGGCATGGCAACCCACCATTATATCCTCTCTTACCAATGCTGGGAGTGTTGTCAAATGGTTTGACAGACGGTTCGAATCACCGTTGCTCTAGGAGCTGAGAGTTCAAGCCTCTCCATTTCCCAGATTAATAATAATAAAGATTCTTTTATTCATGCTATTGAGTATATATTTTAATGTCACAATTGTAAAGCCATTTTCTATGCTACTGATGCATGTGTTGGTGTGCTGTAATTTACTATTTATTACAATATTGGTCAACACATTTATCGTTTATCAGTGCGGTGCATGCTCATCAATTCTTTCGAGAGGAAAGATGGGACAGTTTCAGGCTGATATTTGACACCTACATGTTTGAAGCAGCAAAGGTATGCTACATCTACGTCATATTTATGATGTGAAGCGAGTTATGTAGCCAAGCTTTATGGATGTGCATTTCATGGTCAATCTCATTCCTAGACATGATTAAAAAGGAAAATATGTGCACTTCAGTTTTCATGCACCATGAGACAATAGAAAGAGTCCAGAGTCCAGACCAACCGAATTTGTTTTCCTTGTCTATTATCTCAGTGACACAGGCAATGCAGGTTAATGGGCATAGATTATATTATCTCATCTAAATGCTGAATTTTGTCAACATATTGCCCTGAATTCCATATGGTACATTACCAAACAAACCATGTAGTTTTTGATAGCTTTTCTTTTGCAGGAATGGATAGAGGTTAATGGGGGCAGCCCCCTATTGGAGAGCTTATACAAAGCTATCGATGAGGTGAAGTCAAAACATAAATGTGTTTGGGCAGTTCTTGTACTTGAGGCAATTTTATAATATCTGATGATGCAGGTCGTAAAGTTAGCAGAATGTGAGATTTACAGTTACAACCCAGACTCTGATGGAGACCCTTTCTTAGAGAGAGGAGCCATGTAAGACGATCTCTTCATATCATTAACCTTTGTATTCTTTGGCTCAAGTTTGATGTCTGTATCCATGTGTTTTGCAGATGGTCATTCAATTTCTTCTTTTATAATAGAAAGCTGAAGCGTGTAGTGAGTTTCCGTTGCTGCTGCTTAAGGTCTGCATTTTTGTCATATCATTTGTCAGTGACACAATTGCAAAAATGATGCCTGGGTTTGATACCCTTTTTTGCTTCACTTTAATTGATGTTTATTGACAGCAAGCTGGCAGCAGAAGGTTTTCTCACAGATGAGTTATGCGATGAGGAAGATGGTGATATATTTGATGACATGGACATCTGATAGATCTTTGCACAGATATGTATATAAACTGATGTCCTTACATCTTGCTGTTGTGTAAATAGTTAAGATACGCTCTGGGTTGACTCTGGTAGGTCACACTTCTCAATCTTACCTCAAGATTGAGATGATACAATTGATGCCATGAACGGGGCATGTATTGTTTTCACGCTGACCCATAGTAGTTGTTTAGGTTTAAGCCCTTTGGGGTGTGCCATATTCTTTTTTTTCGTCTGATATTGTTTGGAGAACCTCGAGGTTGTTTGTTTAGAATATTTCTGCTGAAAGCTGGAATTAACCCACCTAGTATGTGTTTGTTCCAACGTAAAATGAATGCAAAAGTTCTTCTGGTTGAAATGTCTTTTACCTCTTTCACAGAGAACTTTATTTTTTCCTTTCTAATCAGTTTCGATGTAGGGTGTGTTCCACAATACGGTTGGTTTTGTTTTTGAAAACAAAAAACAAATGCCACATCAGCATATTGTTGCTGCTGAGTGCTGATGTTGCATTTCAGCCATGTTGTCGAACACCCCGTAGATGTAAAGGAAAACAAAGTTTTCTTCGTCAACGGGGTAAAAGATGTCACCATCTTGTGAACCTTGTCCCAGCCATGTTGTTGGCTGCATTATACTGCTTTTCTTCTGTTAGTCATATCCATTATTAAATTATGGGAGCTTAAATAATTTTTTATTATTTTTATCTAAGGTAATTATGAGAGTTTTAATAATTTTTATGACTTTTCTTAAAGGTTTAAAATATTGATACACCGAATATAGGGTTTATCATATTGGTATTTGCAGGCATGAACAAGTCGCACAGGTGGAATGGCATGGTGCCATTGAAGACTTATGCTAAAAGTAAAAAAATAATAAAAAAATAAATTTTTATATGTTCAACTATAATATGGATCTGTCAATCATCTAATAAACTTGTTGATCTTTGTGTCCAATAAATCATTGAGCTAATAATAAATAATTTATATCAAAAATGAAATTCTTATTTTTTTTACAAAAAGAAACCAAGTTTAGAAGAATAATTTGATTTTCACGGTAAGATAAAAGTATAAGATTGACTTGTATCAATAATCCTTCAAATTCATTGATTCTACAACACTTTGATATACATTGTAATGAATATATATATATATATATATATATATATATATATTTCAACCCTTCATGTGAATCCTTGTTTCCTTTGGATTCTAAACTTGGAAGGACTTGCAAATCCAACAATTCCGTGCACTGGGCAAGCTTTAAAGAGGCAGATATGTATTGGTTTTCGCTTTTTAGTGCAATTGGCACGGGTGGAGTGGTTCAAAATCTTCCACTCACAAAATATCCAAGAACTCGGATTTCATCCTCACAATAATCCATTCTCACACCATCATTACAGCCCTTGCAATCGTGCATTGGGAATATCCCTTCATAAATAAAAACATACAAGTATGAAGATGTATGTTCCCAATGCCTACATGGGCTGTGAGGACAGATTTTGTAAGAATGAATTCCGAATTCAATATCCAATATTTTGGGTTTTATAGAAACATGCAGTGATGCAGTTGATTTTTTTTCTTTAATTCTATTCAAATTCAAATTAATTGCTATTATCTCATTTCACTCCATTAAGATAAGAAAGCATCTGGGTACTTTCCCTCCTGCTCTCATGCAGGTTTTCCATGTTTTCTCCTCTGTTTAGACTTTAGAGTGTTATTCCTTCTCTTCTATTCTCGTTACTCTTCTATTTCCTTCTTCCATCTCTAGTGTACGTTTTCTCCATTGTTTTTTCTCATGGCTGCTGAAGATATTCTCAGAGATCTTTCGAAAATTGTTGTTGCCTAGTACTGCATCCACCATTTAGATGACCAGTGATGGCACCCTTCCTAGTGAGGAATCACATCGTAGTATGTTCTCCATGTTTACTGACCATCCAATTAAAGTTGTAGGGTTAAAGGAAATGATCTCCAAATCCTGGTGAATTGAATAACAGAGTATTTTGGAGTTTGCAGAAAATATATTTCTTACCGAATTCCTGTCTAGTTATGAATGGGATCAGACTTGGGACAGAGATCCATGGTTGTTTGAAGACGACCTGATGGTCATGCATAAGGAGGATCCAAATAAGAAGCCAGAGGACTATATCCTTACTCGTTCAGATCTCTGGATCTATTTATTGGGACTTCCTTTGGCCTATATTAATGCTAAAGCCGCTAGACATGTTGCTGAAGCAATTGTTAAACCATACAAGCCTAATCCAAGAGATATCAAATGGAGTCAATTTGCAAGGGTCAAGGCGAATTTGGACATCACAGAACCACTTCGACAAATCATTCCTCATTGGTTGTTAAACAATGATGCTATTCATGGAGAAATGTTCCAGACAGCTGAAATGTGTTGTGAAGTCGGTGTGAGGGGCACTTTTGTAAGAAGCAGATCCGAACTCGTTTGGAGAATGAATTCACAGCCTATCGATTGTAGCATCATCTCAACACTGTCATCACGGATTGTACAAATGAAGAAACTATCAGGGGTGAGCCTGCAATCGCCCCCCATGGAGCCATGACCTGCTTAACACTGAACCCCAACCCATTTGACCCACCCACCCATACTCACCCATTTTATTAGTGGGTCAATATGTGTCGAGCAACCCATTAGGGTCAGTGAAAAAGGGTTAGGGTGGGTTGGGTCGAGGTACCCATTAGGGTCAGAATAGGTTGGGTCGAGGGAGTCAAGTGGTGGGTCGACAATTTCGCCAAGCCTCACAATAAAAAATGTGTTTGAAGAGACTCAAACTCAAGTTCATGTAGCGCATTAACATTCTCCTTCCACTTTAAGCCACCAAACCAAATGCAATTTTGTAATTAAAAGTGATATATAAATGTTTTTATAGCTTTTGTGTTCACATGCAATTTAAACAAAAAACAAATATTTATATTTAACAACTCTAACTAAAAATAAAAAAAATAATATTAAAAAGTATTATTTTATAAACTAATAGAATAAATAATCTATCAAATCTACATTTATATAAAATGATGATTTTTAATATCAAAAAATTTATACAAATAGAATATTAATAATATTATAAAAATTTTAATACTTAAAATTTATAAATTCGCACATGATATAAATCTTAATTTTTTTATATATTTTCATAAATTATTAACTAATATTTTAATTTACATTAATAAGTAATAACAAAATATTTATTATTTACAGAAAATAAAAATATTATAAACAAAAGTATTTGAAGAATATAATATTAAATTGAATCTATCAAATGCACCAATCTACATTTATTTCAAAAAATGATTACTATTTCATAAAACTTATAGAAATAAAAATATTAATAATGGAATAATAATTTTAGTAATTAAAAACTATGAATTTGTACATGATATGTATCATAGAAATACTAACAAAATTGATACACTCTAAGTTAAGATTATATTTTTATAAATTTTTAATTCATATTTTAATTTGAGTTGATTCTTTGTTAATTTAAAAAATTAAAATAGTAAAATAAAATAATAATTGATATAATAGTTAAAATATAATAGGTGCCATATATTTAGTGTCTTGGACTCTTGATTGATCCATTATAAATAAAATTATATGATAGTTACGCATCCCAGTATAATAGTTGAGTAATTGTAATATATTTCTTCTTATATATCATTAAGATTTATATTTCCATGTATTTATATACTATTTTGTGATTATTTTGATATTAAATTTAGTGTTATTAATGTATTTATAAAATTTTTATGTATTTCCATAGCATATCCATACGTTTCCATATTTTTTATTTGTATCCATGCATTTCCAAATGTAGTTGTATCCGTGTTATCCGATATAATACCCGATACTCGATACCATTACTTTAATCCTTAGCTTTAGTAATTTGAAAGTCTCTATTCAGGTGGAAGGTTTCTGAGTAAAGGTTGAGCCTTCCTCCTACCATTTTTTGCCATGTTTTTATGGTATGTTTTTTGGTGTTTTCATGCATTTTCTATATATATATATATTTGCATTTTTTATAATTTTTGGTATTTTTCTGCATTTCGTTTTGTAAATTTCTAGTATTTTTGCTATTTTATGTTATTTTCTGGTATTTTTCTGAAACTTTATTGTATTTTCTGCATTGTTTTTTTGTAATTTTCTGGTAATTTTCTACATTTTCTGCAATTTTCTAGATTTTTTGGTATTTCCTGCAATTTTTTGTATTTTCTACAATTTTCTTCTGCATTGTTTGTAATTTTCTGGTATAATAATTTATGCATTTTCTGGTGTTTTCATGCATTTTCTAGTATTTTCTGCATTTTTTTGCAATTTTTTGCAAAAGTTATGTATTTTTTGCACTTTCTGCAATTTGTGGTATTTTTTGCAGTTTTTTCTGTTATTTTTCTATATTTTTTTCTGAATTTCCTTCAACTTTTCTACATAATTTCTGCAGAAGTATTCTGCATTTTTTCTACAAAAGCTTTGCAATTTCTGGTATTTTTTCTATACTTTTGCAAATTTTCTGGTATTTTCGGTATTTTCTGCAATATTTTTTGCAAATTTTCTAGTATTTTTGCAAAAACTTTTGCATTTTCTACAAAGTATTTTGTATTTTTCTACATAATTTTTGCACTTTCAGGCATACAGGTCGACTTGATCCATTTTTGTCATATGGTAGCCTTGGTAGAGGTTATTCTCTCAAAAATATTATTTTCAAGTATATGAGTTGGCCGACTCATTTCTGTCACACAGCGGCCTTGAGAGATGATTATCTCAAAAATGTTATTTTCGGGTGTACAAGTCGACCTGACCTATTTATAACACGTGGTAGTCTTGAGAGAGATTGTTCTCTCAAAAGTTGTTTTTGGATATATAGATTGACTCGACCCGTTTCTGTATTTATAGGTGAGAGTGGATGAGGGTCAATACAAGTGAGTCAAGTGAGTCAATATGGGTGGGTAAGGGTGACCCAGGGCTAGGGTGGATATGACCCTTTAAGAAGCATTGATAATGGGTCATGGTGGGTTGGTATTCGACCCTTACCCAACCCACCCATTTGCCACCCCTACTCGACAGCTACCTTCAAGAAGAAGGTCCTCTTGCCAAAACCAACCAAAGCTATTTTTCTTGTTTTAAACAAAAAGCACAGAGAGAGATTGAACATCTGCTCCAATTTTGTTCTGGTTATAATTTTGTAATTGCTTCAAACGGTAGGTGTAGTGGGCGATAAAAATGATTTTTGCGTAAAAGTAAAATGGAGTTGGATTGGGCACGGTGACTGGTTACTGATTACTCCTAGTGGCTGACCTGAAGTTGTATATATTTATGCTTAGTTACCAATAAAAAGAGAAGATGCATGCATGTGAACAAGGGTAGAACATACTGAAAAACAGATAGCTCAGTTACTCTAAAGATCCAATAAACCATAGAAATACATATGACCATATCTATTTGAGCATGTAAGGTGTTTTCATGGGCAAACTAGTATCTGAGTTAAACTGAACGAGATACAGGAAATAGAAAAACATGGCTTCCATGGACTCCGGAACATGCAAGACGAGCACATGAAGAATTCCATTGTCTACTCGATCATTTGCCCCTATGATATAAAAGGAAGGGTTAGAAACATGTACAGAGAGAGAGAGAGATGAGAAATGAGAATCCAGAATTATGCAAGCTTCACTTACGTATTCTGCATTAGTGTGATATTGTCTCCTTTCAAAAGAATCCTCCCTGAACAAATGAAAGAAATATTTTCACGCATTATCAAAGCAGGAGAAACTCAAACTGAGAAAGGCATACGAAATATTACTTTACCCACCTAATGGCTTTCTGGTCTTTTTCTTAATGTTAACTTCCTCAGCATCATCAAGCACCAAATTCATGTACTCATCAAACCCCTGGGCAATTCCAACAATAGATCCAGAAAGTCAGATTCATTTGTTGATTTGAAAACTATGGAAAAAATACTCTAGATATAACTTTAGCATTGCAAGTGCACAGACAGAAAAGGTAGACAAGGTAGACATGCACTCTGTGTCTGGATTAATGGATCTCTCTGCATAAACAGATGCATGACACCACAAAACTAAAGAAAAGCATAGAATCTATATTTTTGTTATGCATTTTATGTTATATCTATCTGCATATGATAGAATTGTACAGGTAAAAAACAAATGAGGTATATTCAAAATTCAGAAACAAAAGTTTGGAAACAGCCTCTGTAGGGGAGGGGTGGTAAGGTTTCGTACAACTGCCCCTCCCCAGACCCCACATTGGCGGGAGCCTTGTGCACCGGGCTGCCCTTATTCAAAATTCAAAAAAGTGGGTCAACTCTTTAGCTGGGCATTGCAGAAAACATTATACATGTTACATGCAATCAGAGTGCAGATCACAAATGTAATGTATCCCATCCAAATTCCATTTCTTTCATTATGTTTTGTTTTATTTTGATTTGCTACTTTTTCCACCCTGGAACATGTGATTAGCTCATTAGCAGATCCCTCTTTATTAGCTTAAGGGAAAATAAGAAGATCCCAGCACTCTTCTACACCATTCAAAACAAAGACCTTGTAAGTTGTAACCATATATTCTCAAAATGGATATAGCTTTCTTCCTTGAGGAATCTCCCTCTCTTCAACAAAGCAAGCATATCTTTCAAAAGCCACATTAAAGGCTTCTTAAAATCACCTTTGAACAATGATCTTCCCAGTCTGTTTACAATAGAAATCTACCCAATCTTCTAAAGTCTGGGGATCTTGGTTATTACCAGAAATAAATTTACCAACCGCCAAGTGGTAAATTGTCATATACTAAATATAAAATTTCCAGAATTCCAAGGCCAATGTAGAGCTATGAAACGCCAACTATGAGTAGTCAACTGATTAGTCAGTTGAGGAGAGTAGAGATGCTACCTTAACTAGTCAGCTCACACCTGTGATGTGGTCAACTGGAACTAGATCAACCAACAAACAAACTAGTTGATCACTGATTTGTTTCTCTTAGCAACTCAAAATGGTGTTTCTGTGTGCGAATAACATGTTCGACTCAAGTGTATATATAAGCCTCTCTCTATCCCTCCTTCCTTTGGCGACCACGTTGATGAAGATTAAGAAAATGCTACAATGTCCACCCAGTCACAGGAGGCGAAAGTTGCTAGTAATCACCTTGACATATTCACAGTTTCAGGCTCGAACAACATTGTTCGATTGATTTTCCACCACTCCACCATCGAAAAGAACCACAAAGCAGTCTCTCCTACATACGAACCCTCTAACTAATCTCACAGGATTTAGTCCATCGACATTCCATAAGACCCATTAGATAGAACCCATCATCTCTATTTATGTATGAAACATAAATAAAGAAATTACCCACAAATTCACAATCACATCTTCTTTAAGAAGGATTATCGGATTCCTGACATGAGCAAATCCCAGTAAGACCAGTCCCTAGCAATTCGACTATATTCCACCAGATTATAGCCCCAAATCTAGTTTCAACACTAGCGCACTTTTTCCATCTTTGATTTTTTTTCACCAGTAAAAGAAAGGGGGGAAAACACTACTTCAAGGAATACCATAACCATAAATATGAAACAATAAGCATAAACAAATAAAAAGAAGGCATTTAGTCCCCAAAAAGCATAATATACTTGAAACTTACAATTATACGCCCTTCAATCCTCAGATCCTTCTGCTCAAACAGCCAAATCTGAATACGAGATTTCTGCGTCAAAAAATAGTCACCTAAGAACCACAATAAGAGGAAAAAAAAAACCCAAAAGCTGGCACAAACTTCAGCTACACAAATGAAAAACCATATAACGAACAGAAAGGATTATCGTTATAACTCACACTTTGAAGAAACCTGAAAATGAGATTCTGGAGCCACAAACAATCCCAACACAAAAAGGAAAATTAGTAAAAAAACGCAAAATAAACATATAATTGCTATTTTTCATAAAAAAAAAAGTGGACAGAGAGAGAGAATTTCTCTAAACGTACAATAGGTTGAGTCATAATCCTCTGAACCCTGGTTGTCGCCATGGCTGCGAGTTGTGTTGTGTGCCCCAAACAGCGAGTCTGTGAGAGAGGGAAGAATCAGTAGATACGCTTTCGAGTTCGACTCAAAAATACTGGGGCTCGGCGCGCCCTTTTAAAAATAGGGTTACGATCACGCGGAGTAAACTGTCAGAGCCCTACCGTGTTCGAGTAGTACTCAGTGAAGGGGTGAAATGACCCTATAGGTTAAACGTTGATATATTTTATTTTTGTTTTGTTTGAATTTTGAAAAAAATTGATTATTTATGATAAAAATTAAAAAGTAAAATCAATACAAATATAATATAATGGTATAATATTTAATTTAATTTTGTATAAATTTAAATATATATTGACAAAAAAATCAGTTTTGCATAAAAAATTAAGCGATTTAAATATATATTTTGATTTTGCATAAAAAACTAAAAAGAAATACACTTAAATATAAATAGATATTTAATTTAAAATATATATAAAAATCGACTAAACTGACCCTTCATATTGGGGTCGGTTTTGCTTCAGGGTCAATCGGTTTCGGTTTAGTCAATAAGTAAACCGACTAGATTGAATCAATTGAAGAAAATGACTCAAACAATCTAACTCGACCCGTAAACACCCCTACTCAGGAATACACCCGAGTATGATCAGACTACCAAAAACACGAGTCCATCTTTGACGATTGGTTTTTTTATTTAATCCGAGTTCGTTTTATCCAAAAATAAATAGATTATTCCAAATAAATTAATCACTCTATTGACTTAAGTAAATAACAAACTTATATGAATATACCATAATGCATTATTTGACAAAATTTTCATATTTGTTATATATTAAATATGTTTATGTATTATATAATATACATGCATAATATATAAACTTAATCCATCTTGTCGTAGTGCAAGTTTTCATGTTTTTTTACTTAAGGATCTTTCATCTCTCTTACTGCCACACCCAAATACTGTAGTGGAAGCTGAACAGTTAGATACTCTCCCACTTGACTCTTGGCAGCGTAATCTTGTTTGTAAGGTTCTTACTGGCCGATCGATTAATGTGGGTGGATTCCGTGAAATGCTTGTGAAATCTTGCTACTTCCGCAATTTTTAATTTTACAAAAGACTCTTTCCTAATCAAAATCCCACCAAGTAGCTTTGAGTGGGATTCTATTGTTGATTGTGGACCGTATCTTTTCGAGGATGACCTTCCCATTCTCCAAAAGGCCGAAGCAACTATGTACTCTCTCTCTCTCATGCGGACTTTTGGGTGCATCTTCTTGGTCTCCCGTTAGCTTACCTGAATGCTAATGTTGCTTGTCGTATTGGAAGTAAACTAGGAAAGCCTTATCGTCCATTCGAGTCTTGTTTTACAAGGATGTCGACCCCGTCATCGACTCCATTTCGCCATTGATGCTTCTACTTTAGAAGCTATTTGTTCTCGACTAGAGGAGTTGAACGTTGAATGTATCTTCCTCTACGGACACCATCCTCTCAACGGATGTTGCCATCTCATCGAGTAAATTTTGTGGATACACATTCATCGACTCCGCCACCGGACCTGGTTGCTCCTGCCACAACCCAGTTATAGGAACAGTTCTCTGGCCCATAAACGGTTGTTGCGATGGTTATCAATAAAAGATCACGGCTTATATGTTGGATAAGATGGGGTCATTGTAACTTTAGAGGAAAAGCTTTGAGGCGCGTCTGAAGACATTGTCTTTAGAACGTTATTTGCCCCCACTCAGTTTTATTGAGTTTGTTGTTGGGTTACTAGCAAATTCGTTCCCAGGATACAACAGAGCCTTGGGCGAGAATCTGCAACCAGCAAAGTTGAAGAGTCTCCAAAGAAACCTTCTGTGAGACTGTAGCAGACCGGACTGAGAGAGAGAGAGAGAGAGAGAGTGAATTTCGAAATTGTGTTTTCGAATCTGATTCATGCTCCTTAAATAATTTGTGAAGAAGTATGAAGAAAAGGTAGGTGTTGGTTTAGAGAAGGCACATTGAACAGTCACAATTTCAAACATTGTGACTGTTTAAAAAGTAGTTAACAGTTGGTGACTGTTAACTTTGAATTGTGCCTCTTGATCACACCTGATCGAATCGTGACCGTTGATCTCATCAACGGTGATCAACGGTCATCAACGCACCAAAACCAGAGTCGCCCATCGCGAGCAAAGTGTGCCTCATTGCGCCACACACACGTGCGCGCGCGTTGCACGGTATCGAATCCCCATACTCTTCTCTACTAATTGTAAGGAGTGTAAATCCGCTCGTATTGAAATACTGAAAACAAAACTTATAATTTTCCAATGTGGGACAAGTTCAAAACTGGGTTTTGTAAGAGAAAAACTGATTTTTTCAATCAAGTGTACATGTGCAATTTCTCATGTAATTGATCAATCAAACCCATTGGATTTAATCTCTAATGAGATTAAAATCCAACAATCCCCCACATTGATTGATCAATTACATAGTTCTCTCTCAATCCAAACTACTATGACACAATTATGCATACAAAAGGTGTTTATCAACTTAAACCTCTTATTAGTATAGTTATCTCAGAGTCTTGTCAAAGTTATTGGTGGTAAGACCTTAAACCAATTACTCTCAAGACAAACCAGAGACACCTATACAAAAATGTCCAGTCTCTGCAAGAGTTTCAAGTTTTGCTCAGCACTGTTATGGCCATGTGCTTATATGAGAAGCGACACCACTTCTATGTTCACATAGGTGAAGTTCCACTATGTGCTCCGTTATTTGACACATTTCAAAACTTCATCGAGAGTTTATTTCAACCTTTCATCATAACGGACAACACTGTTTATGTTGTGATGGGAAATTTCTCAATGTCAATGCTAATAGTCACATTACTGTAACTTGTTGTTACCCATTAAACCCAATACTGATGGTTTTCAGTTCAGGTTGGGTTACCATTACAGGTGACTAAGTAAATGGTTTTAATCCCA